GTGTTTGTTGTAAAATCAGAAATTTACGTAAATGGAAGAACTTGACTTAATGTTTTAACTTTGTACGATGAGACGTGTTTTATCTTAACGTAAAGTTCGCTATTCTTGGCTGCTTGAGCATATATGTTTTGAATAAAATTTACATTACAAAGTTTGTGTTTTAAAACCTTAATATACTTAATCATTTCACATTTTTTATCGAATTATGTTTCTGTTTTTCTGACTATAATAAGATTAACGCCAAAATTGTAGACAAATCGCAGATTTTCAATGTTACTATAAAGGTTTTAGTTTTTTTAAACATTTTTTTGGGCATGATATAAGAAGTAGTCTTCTATCTCCCAAACCTACTCGCTACTGCTAAATAATATCGACTAGCGACACTTCAGCTCACGTGGTGCGATATTAAATCATACCCAGTTTATATCACGTTTCGTATTGGGCGTAGCGGGGTAGAGAGCCGGGCACGCTGACTCTCAGCCCCTCGGTAAATAATTATAGCGACGTCGAGTATGGGAACAGGGGTGCAGCCCTAAAAACAACCCTGACGAGACTGAAAAACTTTAAGATCGGTAAAAATTGGGAGATTTTCGAGCAAAATTTTTTTTTCATTTATATACCCACTTAATTGGTTGAAGATTCATTATGGACGACGCAAGTTTTGTGTTGACTTTGAGATAAACAAATTAAAACTGGTCCGTCCATGCTATAAGACTTTGAATGGTTTGTTTTCGAAAATGGCTTTAGCTTTAAACCCTGCCGCTTCTGTTGTGTATGATCTGTTATCTATATATTAATACGTGAAGCAAAAACTTTGTATCCCTTTTTACGAAAATTGCGCGGACGGAGGACTATGAATTTTTCCACACTTATAGAGAATACAGAGAAGATGTGCACAATACTAATATTTTTTTTTTAAATAATGCATAAGAGATACATTAAATCAATAAAGAAAACATTACTCGCACTACATACCATGTATTTGACGCACACACGCATGCATACTATTAATTTTTTTTGTCAAACTTTTGTTCTTGACGTCTGTTGTCAAATTGAGATTAAATATTGTTTGTCTTTGTTAATATTTTTTATAGTGTAGTCTTGGCGAAATTTTTGATTATAGAAGTATAAAATACAATCATAATAGTGTACAAACTTACAATTCCAATTAATTATAGTCGAATTTCGACTACTGCGGGACCTCTAGTTTTAGGTAATACACAAAAATTAAACAGAAAAAATCTACATAAGACTGGATTATTCTTACGTTCGCGTTGCGTTTGAATTATTTCGGCCCCGCGCACCCTTGTTGTTACTTGGAGATTCCGTGAATGCTGTCGACTACCGATTTTTCTTTGCTCTATTCAGCGACGAACCCCGACAGAATTGACACGGGAACGATGAATTATGAAAGGGCGTTACGAAACCTAAAGGGCTTTCGATCTTTGTTGCAGGTAGGGGCGTTGAATTTTAAATAAGAGGCTACGGCGTCAGCTGCTGTTGATTATTTACTCATTTATAAATTATCTTGATTTAAATGGCTTACATTATCTGAAGTTTAATATTGATTTTTAACTGCAAACCTTATCACTTTGAAATAAACATTTGAGTGATGAATATTTTCTACACTTCTTATCAAAGTTTCATTCGATTTGGACTGTATCTTATTTTTTATATAAATCGCGGGATATTTTGCTGTTTGACGATTCTTCGATAATTTCTAAAGTCATTTTTGATATATTATTGAAACTTGATTAGTATTCCACTATTACTGCGATTCAAGAATGGTAATGGTCAATGTACAATATACATACGTGTATTACATGAAGAATCTGACCGCTATGTTGCGTAACCAACTCTCTCACTGTCCGTTATTCCTTGTGTGTTGGGTTTATTAAGATACCGCAACATAAACAAATGGAATTTACGAGCTAATTTTCTGAGACAATAGATGTACAAAATATTCATATTAAGAACAATATCTGAAGCTCTTCAGTTAATAGGATTTGAATTAACTAAAGTAATTTGATTTTCAGATTTCATATAATGTTTATTCTTTGAAATATTTTCAGTTCATTACCTTATCTAAGCTTAAAGTATTTTGAAAATTCATGAACAATCGACTTCGTAACATACTATAATATAATAAAAGTTCTTCAGTCATAAGCAATGTTCCAAATTTTCGGTATAATTTTTTAAAGAAATCTTCACAAGTATCAAATTTAATAATCCACTGCATTATTATTTTTCGTTTTACGCAATTTCTTCACGGTCTACATCGCGCAGTTGCGCTGTGGGTCATGTCCAGCTACATTCTAACGTATTATCGGTACAATAACAATTTAACGAAGTGACAAGTGATTACTGCGTCTGTTCTGTTCCTGACAGGGCCGAGGTTAATGTCGGATACGCAACGCACAGCCCCCAAAAATATAAGATATCTATGTATAGTGCTTCAAGCGCGCGTCTTTAATTTGTTGTAATACGGGACATTTACTGAAAATTAAACGTATAGATTAACATAATATAAATAATAATAATAATAATAATAAATATTTACTAACAATCACGCCACGTTAACTGGTCCCGTGTTAAGTTCGTAAAGAACTTGTATTACAGGTACCAGATAACGGAAATAAATGTAAGATTTTTATTATACACATACATATATTTAATATATGTACATCCATTACCCTGGAAAAGACATTTTATATTTATCATACAAATATCATCCCTTGGCGGGATTCGAACCCGCGACCCCCATGTGTAGTGACCATGTCACTTACCACTACACCAGACGGCCGTTAAGGTTCCGATAAGGAATTTATCTGCATAAATAAACAATTCGGAAACATTTTTCTAGCTAATTTTTTTCTTGTGATAAAAAACAAAATTTAAACTTAAATTTGGCTATTGACGATAATAGCTAAAATACATTAGAAAACAACAAGAATTGCTTCGTATGCTCAATACAAAGGTTTCGGTTCATGGGATTCTTGAATAATCTGAATTCAAACATTATTGATACACATTTTAACACAATAGGTAGTTGAACTATATGTTTGAACAAGTCCCCAATTCGTGCTCTGTAATTTTGATAATGGTCACAAGGGGGCGTGTAGCAGATAAGCGAGATAACGTTCGAGACAGCACTCGTCCCTCCGGCTCAAGGGTGGGGAAGCGAAAACCACCCTTTCGTGTGTGGGGGGTGCTTAAATGGCGCACTGTCTGTCACGCGCGTCCGGACAACTCAATGGGATGTTTTGGATCTTTTATTTTATGGCCCGAGGCGAGGAAGATGTAGGGGAAGGCCTGCTGAATCCTTGATCAAAACTTGAGGTCCTAAAGACTAATAATTCTTTAGAACTGTAACTATACTATGTATTCTTGAAAACTGTAACTATATTTGAGACCTTAGAACTTGTATCTCAAGGTGGGTGGCGCATTTACGTTGTGGATGTCTATGGGCTCCAGTAACCACTTAACACCAGGTGGGCTGTGAGCTCGTCCACCCNACTTGTATCTCAAGGTGGGTGGCGCATTTACGTTGTGGATGTCTATGGGCTCCAGTAACCACTTAACACCAGGTGGGCTGTGAGCTCGTCCACCCATCTAAACAATAAAAAAAAAAACCTTAAATTACGTAGCCAATATTACGATCAATGCGATCAATTGTGTTTGTTTTAATTGCCACGGAAACTCATAACCCAAGGACGAGCCGAGATGGTTAAACTGAGAGAAAAGTGAGGTCTAAGTTTCAACAGTATTATATAATAACAACGGGTCTCCTATACCCTCGTGTCGCTAAGCATGACTCGTGATATGAATAGGCAGGATAACGCATGCTTAGAATAAACCCTACCACCAGTAGGTCCCCACACAACGTGGTCTCGCCTTGTCGCGGCGGTGGGGCTTAAGTGTGCACCCCGATACCGTGGAGCAGCATTGTCTGCAGAGGGGTGCCGCGAACTAAGAAGACTGCACACGGTGTTCCCTTTTCCCACCTTTGCTGGACAAAGGGTGCGTGAAGCGGGAGAAGGCTCCCTTCTGGAGACCTTTTGGAGGCTAGGCCATGTCCCCGNCTTGTCATGAGTTCTGTCTCATGCGAGGTTTGGACGTTGGTTGTTGAGCGACAGGAGGTTTTAGTCAGTTCGACTCTGACATACCCCGCCCAGTATCCCCAGAAAAGGGCGGAAGTCCGGCGATTTCCTCCTGACCAAAAAAAAAAAAAAAAAACCACCAGTAGGTACTTGCGAATCTGCAGATTTAAAATTTATTAAACGATTTTATTTCTTCATAGTGGTTACTACCATTTGTCAAGATGAGTTTGATAAGTATATAAAATATATAAAAAAATCGCATCTTTCCATTGATAGATAGTTAGAAAGTATCAACGTGCTAAAACTGATGATCACCTTTATTGTCAAAAACATATTCACGTATTTTGGAGAATTTAAGCGATGTTTCCTTTTTTTATTTCATAAAATAAATAATAAATAAATAAATATTTACTAACAATCACGCCACGTTAACTGATCCCGTGATAAGTTCGTAAAGAACTCATGTTACAGGTACCAGATGACGGAAATAAATGTAAGATTTTTTATTATACACATACACATATATAAAATATACATCCATAACCCTGGAAAAGACATTTTATATTTATCATACAAATATCATCCCTTGGCGGGATTCGAACCCGCGACCCCCTTGTGTAGTGACCATGTCACTTACCACTACACCAGACGGCCGTTAGACGTTTAGACATTAGACGTTTGTGGAAATGTCTACAGGTCACGCATTTTTAATTCGCGTAAAATATTCATTCTAAAACACTAATTAAGATTAAATCATTAAATATAATATTATGTATTTTAAAACATAAAACTTTTTATATTTCGTTTTACTGGTCTCGGCTTTTATGATACGCAATTATTTAAAACATGTTACGTGGTTCTCTTGTTATTTTTGAATTTTCCTTAACTAGATTATAACAGATATGTGATCACGGAGCTTCTGCAGAGCGACCTACACAAGATCATCGTGTCGCCCCAACATCTATCAGCGGACCACATTAAAGTCTTTCTGTACCAGATACTGAGAGGTCAGTGATTTTGTTTATAATAAAATACGAATTATTAACTAATAAGTATTATTAGCAATAGTAGTAGTAGTAGTGTTGTGACCGAAGAATTCTTGCTTGACAACCATTTGCAAACAAATAAGATGTTTTTGGATATTAAAGGAAAGTTTTTTTTTATTGCTTAGATGGGCGGACGATCTCATAGCCCACCTGGTGTTAAGTGGTTACTGGAGCCCACAGACATCTACGACGTAAATTAGCCACCCACCTTATTTGCGTAAACTAAATATTTCGTTCAGTAATTGATTTCTATGAACATTCTAATTTTCAATTCTTTTGTTGTTATATCAGCTTGAAACATTTCTTAATGAATAAAAAAGTTGAAACGTGAATTGCGCAAAAAGAAATTAATTGTTTGAATCCGTCATCTATTAAATGTTCAATGGGGAGAAAAATTTAGCCATACCTTGATAATCTTGTGTCTCTTCTTTTCTTAAATTTATCTGATATTTTTGGAATAGGTATGTATACTTTAGGAATAATTTTTAAAACCTGGATTTTGTAATCATACACTTGTCAATCTTGACATTAGCCAATCTAAATTACTAGAAAAAAAAAAAATCGGTTAGACTAGCAGAGTTGATATTTGGGCCAATTTGCTTTCCCTTTGACCTCTTCTAAGAACATGTCCGTTGAATTGTTGAAATAAAATATGTTGAAAGAATTTCGTGCAAATATTTACGTGTCTTATCTCGGTAATATTACACAAAAGTGATACAGTCTTGTCACATTGTGCATATTAAATTATCTTCAATTTGATAATTTTCTAATATGCGCATGACTCACTCTTTCCTAGGTTTCATTAGTGCCTTGCCCATAAAGGGCATTAAAAAATTAAACACGTTGTAGCATGAGTCACGCTCCAAGGCATCCTTGTTCATAAAACGAATTTGTGTTCATAACAAACAAAGCGAGCAAGTTTACACATTCGAAAATGGATAGCGGGAAGCGACGTGGTAGCGTGTTTAAGGTTTTTTAATCACACGATGCATGATTTTCTCATATAACTTTTACTATAAGTTCTTTATTTGTTTCAGTAAATATCTGTGTGTTGTACTAAAATTTGGTCACAGTATTTTGAGGGTTTTTTAGGTATTTTCAGTCTGTTAGGGTCACTATTTGTTCCTATATTCAAGTTTAAAATGAACCAAGTATCCGTAGATCGCTATATATATATATTATTGCTTAGATAGGAGGACGAGCTCACAACTCACCTGGTGTTAAGTGGTTACTGGAGTCCATAGACATCTACAGCGTAAATGCGCCACCCACCTTGAGATATCAGTTCTAAGGTCTCAGTACAGTTACAACGGCTGCCCCACCCTTCAAACCGAAACGCATTACTGCTTCACGGCAGAAATAGGCAGGATGGTGGTACCTACCCGTGCGGACTCACAAGAGGTCCTACCACCACTAATTACGCAAATAATAATTTTGCGGGTTTGATTTTTGTTACACGATGTTATTCCTTCACCGTGGAAGTCAATCGTGAACATTTGTTGAGTACGTATTTCATTAGAAAAATTGGTACCCGCCTGCCTGTATATATTTTAGTTGGGACAGGACCGGTATGATCCGCCCCACTCGACTGGCGCACATCCATTTCCGCCTCGACTCAACCTGCCGTAAATCAATTAAAACTTCCAAGTGTTCCAAGTTTGCTACTTCTAAAGTGGAAAAAACTAGCGCAATATCTCCTACCGTCTCAGGAAAAGCGCTTTATGTAGACTAATTTCGAATATCAAGAAGCCCGTTCTTTAAACTCAAACCTGTCCATTGTGTATGCTAAAGCTATTCATTTTAGTGGATGAAAAGAGCCGACTTGGAGCATCCAGATTTAGTAATATAAATTTGAGCAATTATTCGCTGATGTCGAGAAATTTCCCGGGAGTGACTCAAAGCGAAAGTAGAAAAATGCGGTCATTAAGCCTCCATGGTTCCGCTTGCCGCTTTTAATTAAAAACTTTATAGTTGCACCGCCTTGATGGTGCTCCGGGTTTTCTGAATGCCATATAAAATAAATCCGCCTTTAAATAGAGAACGATATTTCAGATGACCAATCATTCTAATGTAATCCAAAAACAATACGTTTCAAGTTCAATAGTCAATTTCATACGGGTTTAACAGGGTTTTGAGTATTTAATTAACTTAGTGGAGGCTTGACAAAGGTTGAATTCTAATATATATTACGCCGTTGACCAAAAAATATTACGCATGGAATTATCGTGAGAAATTCAGGAAATGGAAATACGACGCACCCCTTGACCACATAACATAACTTAAAGACAAATGGATCGTGTAGAATGTTACTAAACTGGTCTATATAAAGTGTCTTTGGCTCGTACATGCGAGTAACTCGACCGTGGTCGGTCTGTTGTCGCGCAGGGCATTGGAGCACGCAAGGTATGCTAATAGTACCCGTACCTAATACCTTTCCGTATCAATAATGCATCGAGATCAACTGCCCGCGACTGTACTAGATGGCATTCCGTTTGCGTCACATTAAACAATTCTCAAATAAGATTAAAAAGCATTTTGTAATATCGTTGGGTTATTCGATTATAATACTGTTCCGATAAAGTAATGTAAACAAAGTCTCAACTCGCTACAACATCTGTATAGGGCTATAGTAGGAATCGTTTAAGCCTAAACTTTGTATTTTCTTAGATTGTTTGAGTTTTACTCTTGCTTAAGGCAGTTTATGGATTAATATTTAAAGCATAATTATATAAAGTCAGTGTGTTCATAGTTTCACCAAATTCAGATTTACCAATTCCAAACTCAGATTTACCAGTTTCGATAGTATCATAAATGTTAACCTTAATATTTCTCAATACTTGGGAATCCTATTTAGTCTTTCTCACTGCTGAGGATCGTGGCCTTCATGTTTAGACAGGATTTGATTTTTTCTTATGTCTTTCCAGCATTTCCGATCATTGGTCGCGTGAAATGGGGTTTTTAGTGTGGTCCGGATTTGAGCGCACCAACTTATCGGGCTGCGCTCACGCGGTATTTTCCCCTTGGTTTTCCCTGTCACGAATATCTATCTCTAAGCTATCAGGTGTTTTCCGAGCAATATGACCGAAGTACTGGAGTACGCGGCGATGTCAGAGTATTTAGAATAGTCAACTCGACGCGAGTCAAGTCAACAAGATTCTCAGATAAGTTATCCACCCAAAAGTCTTGTTTTAATGGCGGTTTTGAAATTGGACCTGTTTCGATCTGATAATGAATAATTAGCCAAATGAGCTTAAAAATAGGCCTGTATTTTTTTTATCACAGACAGGCTTTAATTTATTTGTATGGATTTTATGAACCGTGGTCAATGACCACAGAAGCTATAAAGTATTCTAAAATTCACATTATAAAGTGAATAAGAACAAGATTAAATCGTAAAGCAGTCTTTAATACTGTTATGGATATTGTTCTGTTCGTTGGTATCACCGATGTTGTTTCTCACATTAAGCTCATTATAAATTATAATGTCCATTAAAATTATAGATTATAATGTCTAGTATAATGCTTTTGTTCTTTATCATATATTTTGTAATTAATAAATTATAAAAATCGATTGTAGCTTAGTCTATATTCTTAAAGATGGGTTGTATAAATCCTCAAGGTATTGAATCCTCCAAAATCACTTATGTTACATCTATATGAATTACAGCATTGTTGGATATAACTTGCTAGTGAATGATGACACAAAGAGCTATTAGAAATATCGAAAAAAATCAGTATATATTTTTTTGAAAGAAAAATTAGCTGGTAGGGTATTCCTACGAATAATCTTTGTAAGTCCTCCTGTATTTCCTATCCAATGTTACTTCGAAGTAATACATCGAGATCCTTTCAGAATTTCTGATACGTTACAAATAGATCAGTTTTATTTATATGAAAGTTCTGTAACAGGAAATGTGCGTATGACGTGTGTAATCTTCGTGTCAGCGTTCTCGTGGGTCGTATCGTGTCAAGTCAGTGATCCCTGTAATCCGTCACTGGACTTTTGAGTCTTAATACCGGTTTGACTCGTCTTTAATGCGTCTTGCTGATCACACGTGCCTATGTACTGAAAAGCTGGATCACGCGAATCCAATAAATGTTTCTGTGGAATGTTGCATGCCACGAATACCACAAAAGATGTCCATTAGGAATTCAATGACGTATCGTAAACACTTATGCCCCTTTGGGTAGAAAAATGTTTATTTTTGCGTTTTAATAAGATAACGCAAATTTGTATTTAGTTGACAAAGAAGTTCGGTTAGTGGCTTGCGTCGCCTCGGTTCCTTATGGCACTCAGTAGGCGCTGTTTTGTGGTAAATTGTTGATGAAATTTTAACAATAGCTCATCGAGAAACGCCGTGAATTTTGTGCGCGCTCTTTAGTAAAGTTTACTTAAATTCCCGTTACTCAGAATAAAGTATTGCGTGACAACATCAATAGCACAAGGCGTGGATGCCCATTGATATATTTCTCATTTTGTCTCTTATCTCTTCCGAGTTTAGAAAATACGATCCCATGCAAGTGTTTGTAACAAACTGCTTATCTAGTTTGGATGGCCGCAGTGATTTATCCCTTAAAGATGCATTCTAAACTACAGTTCTGGGCCTCCAAGAAACTTTATCACGACCAGAGCCGTTCGACGATTGGAACTTGTTAATTTATGAGTTGACGACTTGTTGTTTATAGAGGTTTAAAATATCTGTTCCGTTTGTATGTTGTGTAAATGCTTTTGTTCATCTGGTTTTGAGTTCACTAATGGGCTTCGTGTACAAATATAAATATCGGGGAAGTTCCAGTAATTATAACGATAATTCTCTATGTTATATGCTCGTCACGATTTATGGTAAATATTATTAGTTTATCTTTTGTTTAACAACTTGGAGTATAATAATGTTGTAATGGTTTTATATTAGAAAGTGATTAATCGTGTATTCGTTCTGTTGTTAAATTGTCGAAATTGA